AATAGCAGAACTGATCATGTCAGAGGAGATTTTTCCTGTGATCACTTCAAAATATCACCTTCATGCTGCAGGACAGCCAGACAACTATTGAAGAAAAGCCCGTACACAAGGCTTTCTTTTCTTGTATTTATGGAGGTTTCTTGTAGTCAAACGTGACAATTAGTAACTGTAACATCCAGAAAAATGCAATGACCATCTGTGTGGTACATGCTGCATGCTAAACACAAACCGCTCACTAACACACATGAACTACATCAGAAGCTGCTCATGGAAACATCGTGGAGTTTGCAAACTTATACAAAGCGATAGTTCAAGACATTTGTGGCCTTTATAGAAGTGCTTCATACACATAATGCTCACAAAGACAAACATTTCCCAAGGCTCAAACGTTTCAGAGCCAGCACAGCGTGTCTATGAGGTTTTTCAGACTTGGTTTCTGCCGGACTGCTCGCTTGTCAAAGATGGTTTCTATGGAGATGAGCACTCACTCTAATGTCACCAAAACCATCCTTTATGAAGACGTCTCACTCTGATCACTTTTTAACCAAAGCTTTACAACAGTTTTACCATGAAATTAACTTATTTATTTATACACTATGAACTTATTTGTAACTTTTTCACTAACTTATCACTCTATTCATGTCTTTGACCCAAACATATGACACCCTTGGACCCGTCTAATATCTGTTGTTGGTAATTGTGCCGAACTGTCATGAAAACTTCATCCCAACCAAACTTGAACTTGTAACTTAACAGTTGTTTGATTTAAACAACTGATGACACAAGTTGTGTTTTTCCCTGCGTCTATTGTCAGGATTAACTCCATGTATGTTTCTATTGTGCAGGGTGATGGGCTGCTGCCTCTTCCACCACAGTTCAGCAGCCCTCATCACTACAGGGTGCCCACCACCGAGCCCCCTGCCACCCAGGTGATCAGTGACCTGAGGAACGCCCTGCATAAAGCCATCCAGGAAATTCAGTCTCTCAGAGAAGAAAATAAGTCTCTGAGAGAACAGAATGAGCTCCTGGATGGCCGTACCCAAGAGGTCCACCATCTCAAAGAGGAGCTCCTTGAAAAAGACAGGCTCCTCAAGAGAGAGGTGAAAAAACGCAGGGCTCGTACTAGAGCCCATGTTGACACATTGGTCCT